CCCATACATATTGCGTTTCTCAACCATGCATGGGACTTCCATCAATGATGGGTCCCAATGATCGTCGGCTCCACATTTAGAGTCTCAAACTTTTGCATGCCTTGCCCACACCCATAACAAACATTGTTGGGATTGTGCCTTGCTTTTGTGTGCTAAGTCTTAGGGGGTATAAGGGTTGTTAAGGTTACCAGCTTGACACCCCTTTGCAGAGCAACCCCTTATAATAGGGTTAGTGAGCAAAATCTTAGTGGCAGAAACGAATATCATCTTACCGAGGAGTCATAATGATGAGAGCTTGGAGTATAGTTGTTGCATACTACTTGAAACTTTTGTCGAACACCATTGATACCAAACTAAATACACAACCAAGTCTTTAAGAAGTCATCTTCACACAATGGACACTCCCCCAATTTGACTAAGGCATGGGATACCACTAGACTAGTACCTGCATGCCATCACCGTGCCAACGAGTTAAGGGGCTAACACCTGTATATATGAGATCTTATTGTTGGATGGTAATAACTCGGTTGACATGATATCTTTATTATATTCAATATATATTCATAGTTAAAAATAAAACATAGTCATTTGAACTTACTTTGAAGATTTTAATGCACTATAACTATTAAATTGACAATAAATTTCAACATTAGATAAAATTATGTAAAACTTTTCTACTAATGGAACCGCCTTAACAACCATTTTGAGAGCAGTAATCTCGTGTGTCCTCAAGTAACGGGAAACGGATTAAACAAATTTTGCTTTCTTCTTCTCAATTTCCTTTCCAATTTCAAATTGAACACAATTTGTTCAACAAAATATGCCCATGAAAAGAAACCAAATTGAAAAAAAATATTAGAAAAAAGAATTACACTTGAACCACCTTCTCATCTCTCTCAGCAAGATACTTATTCACAGCATCTCTCATATCTTCAAACTTATCAGACCCCTCAAAGAACTCAATCAACCTCCTCAGCTCTCCATCTCCGATATCATCAGTAAACGGCCTGATCGGAATCGCATTTTCCGGCTGAAACACGTATGAATTCGGATTATCATCGACAATCACCACACTCTTCAAGTCCCTCCCCAACTCAGACAAGTCCTTCACAAACTTCCCATCAACCTCTTTACATGAATTCCGGTACAATCGGTGCGATATCGCCGCCCTCCAATCAAGCCTATCAAGCACCAATGAAGCATATTCTTCAATCCCGGCGGTGAACACCACAATCTCAAAATTCTTGCTGAGATAGTCCAATAGTTCATCTACAAATGGACGCTTCAACACATAGAAAACGACTTTTTGTCCGTCGATCACTGGCCTTACGATAAAATCGTACTTTTCAGGAGGTGGATCTGGCTTGGAATGGACTAAAGTCTCATCCAAATCAAGAAATACCGTCTTCTTCATCGGTGATATCAATGGAGGAAGAGAGTGTTTCTCATTGAAGAGTGATCTACGGAGGTTTTGTGGGTCTTCGGCTGTGACTTTCTTGAGGAATTTGTAGCCTTGTTTTCTGGGACTTCTCTTTGGGGTATCAATTCGGGTTAGTTTTGAGAAGATCTTGATGAGGCGGCGGTGGCAACTGTAGATTGATTTGTTGATGGAAGCTACAACGAGGGAGGCAGTAGCGGTGGCGCTCTTGATCGGCGACTTCTTGCAGCGGCGTTGGTGGTAGTTTCGAGCGTTTTTTATGGTTTTTGTTGGGGTTTTCTTGATGATTTTGGACACCATTTTCTGGGTCTAGGTTCTTCTTGTATTTCTCAGAGAGAGAGAGGTTTATGGGGGTGGTTGAAGCGGTTTTAGGCGTTGTGAACTGTATAATGGGGCTGAAATTGATGTGATTTGAAATTAGATTCGGTGCAACGGTCGAGTATTGTTGGTTCGGTACCGAAGCTAGAGGTGCGTTATGTATGTCCACAAAATAGGGAAAAAAAGGGATGGTCTAAAATTAGAAATGCAGCTTTGTGAACGTTAGCTTTGGGAAGATACAGCTGGCTGTCTTGGGTTCAAAATATTTTGGCGCCCATTTTAATTACTTATTTTGATGTACATCCCATTAATTTAACATACTTTCAATGTTATCAGAACCAAAATGACCATCGAGCTGACAAAAGAATTGGGTTAATGGTTCACTAGTTCAATTGTTCGGACTCGTTATATAATAAAAAATAAAAATTATAAAATATAATAATTTAGTATATATTTACTGTATATATGTATTTGACTCTGTGTGTGTATATACGATAATAATGATTGAAATCTGAAATCTGAAATCTGAGGGGGAGAGAAAGGAGAAGACTTAGTCAAGCCGGAGAAGACAGCTAGTCTAGGAGAAAATTGCCCAAAATATGGATTTTGATTTTTTTTGTTTTTAGTTGAAAGTCAAATTGTTGGTTTTTATCGGCCTGTCTGGTTCACCAATTTTGAATTAATTTTATTTAAAATCGGCTGGTTTAGTGATTTATCACTAGTTCAATTGCTTGGGTGGTCCAACAAATAAACTGGCCTGATCTAGGGTTCAATTCATGTCCAACCGATCTGATCACCCGGTCCAGTTTTGATAACACTGCTTCTAAATTCTATAAAAAATGAGAAAATTGTAGGTAGTTATCTTACAAACTACTTAACTGTGGGAAAATTCTTTACTGAAAATCTATCGTAGATAAGTATTCCCAATTGAAAATGTTTTATGTGTAAATACACATTGACAGTTTTTAAGATATTCTCTTTACTAAAATGCCATTTTATATAATTTAGGTAATGTTTAGTTTGACAATTCATTCTTTCGTAGGATTTGTTTTATTATTTGAATGGTTTCTTATTTTAATATATTAGGATATTTGAATTTTAAACGTATATCATCTTGTTCTTCAATGGTTGGTGATCTTCTTCAACTTCTGGTGTCTTTTTTTAACTTAAACAGTTAGTGATCTTCGTCTATTTCAACGAATTAATCTTCTTCTTCACGTTAGGTTTAGGTAGAATATAACATCAACACCCTTTTTTTTTTTTTTTTTTTCCTTTTTCATGTTAATTACCAGAGGTTGTATTTAAATTTAATAAAAATGTTTGTTGTTGTGGTTATTATTATTATTTTTTTACATGTTTTCTTCATCTTCTTGTGAATATAGACCTCTTACTATGATTAATTGTGTTGTTACATTGTGATGTAATATTATCATGTTCTTGAAAGCACTATGTCATGTCACACTATATGAAGCATAAGATTTAGTTTGTGTTGGAATCAAGAAATGTAATTGTACATTTTTGTCATAGTGTAACAAATAAAAACGTGTTAATTGTGTTGTTACACTATGATGTAACACTGCTATATTACACTGATTCATATGAATCATTGTGTGCCCAACACAGAGTCAATTTATTCACACACCTGTGGTGACATCATTTTATCAATATATATCAACATTACAGACTTTGTTTAAATTTCAAAACATTGAGCGATATATTAGTTACCTTTAATGGGATTGGTACATGACTTCGACTTTTTCCAAAACTAGTCGCTGTGTTGGTTAGTATTACCTTGTGAGTATTTTTATCATTCATGATAATAATGGACCTATGTACAAAACGTTTTTTCCTGAAGAACTTTTACACAATTAAGTGTTATATTGTGTACCGGCCTTAAAAAATCCCATAAAAAATCTATATATAATATATAGTATGTAGTTGGCTTGGATAAGCTACAAAATCTCATCCCACTTTTTTTAATTTTTTACTTATTAAATTGTCAAATTTAATTTGATTTTATGTCATTGGTCCTTTTAAAAAAATTTAATTCCTAAAATTTCTCAACTATCGCAATTTTTTTCCCAATCATGTTTACCTTTTCTGTCTCTTTCTTACACACATATTTTGTCTCCTCTAAATCTTTGTTTAGTATAGACTATAACAATCAATTTAAGAGAGATAATGCTTATGAAACTGTCATTTATCAAGTACTAGATTTTTTTTTTTTTTATAGCTTATTTAAGAACAATATATTGTTCTCATCAAATTAAATCATTACATGTGACTTACATCACTACTCCCACAAAATAATTTTATTTCATCCTTCTTAATTTAGCACAATAATAGAAATTTTTTTAAACAAACTAAGGCCGGGATTGGGGTGGCAATAGGGGGTGGCGATAGGGGTGGTAAGATTGTGATGAGAGAGATTTAAAAATATTTGGTATCGCACAGTGACAAATAACTCTTTTACTTAAATGATTACACTTTCTCGATTATGTTCGATATTTAACTACGTATACACATTTATATAGTGTATATGTATTTGTATTTGTATGGATACACTTTAATTTAGTTACTATAATACGTGTATGGTTATAAATGCTATGATATGTAGTACACTAAATGCATTAAAACATAAATCTATCAAAAGTGAAAATATTTTTTTTAAGGAGATAAATAAAGAACTAAAGTTGAATAAATGAATATATATTATATTCCTTCACATGTAGAGAAAGGCTGGAATGATGGGAGAAAGCTAGGTTTTAATAGGTTTTGAGAGAGATTAGGTTGAATTCCTCAATAGGTTTTAATATTTTAGTAATATCTCCTTTAATTATATTTTGTAGAATAAATACCCCTCCCTTGAGCCACCTTTAACCAAACACAAAGGAACCAAGTTTTTTTTTTGAACAAGGCGATTAGGTAGTAATCTTCTGTGAAACGTTTGATTTGAGTCATAACTACTAATCGAATAGTACATCACTACAACACTACTAAAATCAAGCAACAAACCATATTACTCCTGTGAATCAAGTCCTATTTGATAACCATATATAAATCAATGACGACTTTAAATGAGTACGACTTACCGCTAAACCACCAGCTCAACTTCCAACAAGAATCTAAAGCTTGTGGCCTGTTATTCTTTACTTCGATTCCTAAGCAACATAGGCTTATGGATTTACACAAGAAAGCTAAGATGGATCTGGATGTTCTCAATTGTAAATTCTATCAAAATTTATTGATTTTGATAAATTTATCTACCCTATTTTCAGGAAAAATGAGATAGGAGCCATTAAGTGGTAAATGAGGATAGCATATGTATATTCAGCCTCGTAAGATCATCTCCAATTAAGCTTCGACAACGTGCTGTGCTTGGGTAGATTTTTTGGGAAAAATGGAGGTGGGTACAAAAAATTTAGACTTATTTGAGATAAAATACATTAAGAAAACTTATTTAGTTCTAAGTTTATTTTTTTGAAAAAACACCAACAGGCCATTTCAATAAAAGTACAAAAAAACGTTGCAAGACTAGTTTGGAAATCAACCGGTTTTCTTGTAACTTAACTGTAGAACATGAAGCGCCAGTTTAGGAGAAGGAAATTGGTGCACGATCTTCTACTTTCAAAGTGGGTTTTGAATTTGAAAATTAACATCTATTGTTCCACTGTAACTAAAAATTCGAGATTTACTTTCATTTCAAGAAGAACAAATCACAAAATCGCTCGACTGTGATGAAATAGAGGATTTTGGAGGAAGAAAACTGAAGCAAAATTGTCAAAGTTTTGGAATTTTTAGTAAAGTTTTTGTCGGAATCATCTAAAATGTCTTCCCTTCCGTTGGAATCAGTTAACAGTATGATTTTTTTTTTTAGTTCAATATTTACTCTTGATAAAATTCAAATGAACAAAATTAAAAAATCCATGTTTTGTAACAGGAAAATAAGAAACCTTAAAACTTTTATGCTGAATACATGCATGTAAGATTGAAATTCCTAAAAATATAAACACTAATTGTTAGTTTATTGTAACAGTTTGGAGTAATTTTATTGACATTCACTACTTTTGAGTTATATATCTATTTTGGGCTTCTGATTCTTACGAGCGGCAAAATATTCTAATACGAAACATCATCCCAACATACATTGATTCATTGGTATCCCTATATGATGTACTTCTTTGGTGTGATTTATTGGTTCACCCAATTTGATGTATATAATTGGTGTAACTATATTATGATACTAAATGGTGTAACTTTTTGGTTTATGTAAACAACTGAATTTGGGTTAGCGTCATAATTTTGTGTAATTGTTTAGTATAACTATTAGTTTATCAGAATATATAAGTAACTGTTTTGTGTATTATAGAACAAGTGTAACTAATTAGTGTAATTATTTGTTGTAATATTGGTATCACATTATGTTTACGTAACTATTTTGTGTAATTCTTCGTTGTATTGGTTTGTGGCATTAATATGACGTTCTGTAAAAAAAGTCAGTACACAAAATAGTTTATCATTACAACTCTGTTTTTTTTTCCAATCGTAAAAAAACAAAAAAAAAGAGCATCTTTACATTTTTGTTTTGCTGCAATGTGTTTGATGATGTACAAAAGTGAATTTATATATCACCTGTCGAGTAATTAATATAGGTAATAAATGCAGTAAATATAAATGTGAGATCAACACAGACAACTTACAGATATAGAGTGGTTCGATCAGGATGACCTACTCTACTTTGAAGACGACAACTGTGGCCAGAAGACTTTATTGATAAAGTAGTAGATGGGAGAGAGAGCAAGGATATGCTCTAGGTATGATGAGGTAGCTATGAGAAAGATAATTTTGTGTGGGATGTAAAGATGTGTAAAATGTGTGTCCCTCATGTGTAGAGGTCTTACAATTTATAGGCACATAACTTTGGTTAAGGCGGTGGCGTGATGCATAGGTTACTAGTTTTTCGGGGAGGATAGTTACAATTAGGATATGCACAATTAGAGATAGTCTTAATCTTCAAGGTGGCTATCACGATAATTACT